CCAGCCACCCAGCCCTGCCCGCCTCCCGCAGCAGTACCTGTAGATAATACTGTTAACGGAGAAGGTGAAGCCATCGAAGGAGTTTGCTACCACCAGAAAAGAGTCGTCTCCCACTGAGAAGAACTCCCAGTCCAGGGCGCTGGGGGATGAAGCAAGCAGAGGGGCAGGTGAGGTGGCCCCTCCGTGACCAGGCGAGGAAGGGGCTGTGTGTCTGTGGGGATGAGCCCACCCCACCCCAATCTCTGCCACCACACAGAAAACCCTGCTCTTCCCTGGCTGTTCCTGAAAGGAAATCCACCCTTGTTCCCAAATCCAGGGCCTTTTTCCTAGGTCCCACTGAGATTTGGTGCCAAGGAGCTGTCACCCATTGCCCTCCTCACCAGCCTTGGTCCCTGGCAGCGCGCAAGCCTGCACGAACCCTCCAGGAGACCTCCAGGTTGCTCAGGGAAGGACGTGGACTGAGGAGCACCTTGACATTTTGCACAGGTACCTGTAGGTGAGGAGGTCCTGGAATTTGACAAACATCTGGGCAGTGATGTTCAGCTCATAGATGGAGGAGTTGACGGCGTAAAAGTTAGAGGGTGCCGGCGTGCCGCTGTCATAGCTGTGGCTGTTTGCAACAGCCAGGAAGACTCTATCCCCGATGCGAAAGACCTCCCAGTCAGCAGCACCAAAAGTCTGTGGGGAAGGAAGCCAGATGAGATGCTGGATGTGGACAAGCCTTTGAAAGCCAAGGATGCTGCGAGGTGTGGGGGGACCTGCTGGAGGTGCAGCAGGGAAGTTACCCACTCCTAAAACCCTCCAAGGAACAAAATAAACCTTGCTCCGTCAATCCCTATGGGAGAATCAGTGGGAAACTATCACTACCTTTCCAGAAGACTGAAGAGCTTCTGTCTCTGTAACTATTCCCTGGCTTGTCTGAACCCAGAGAGGCAACTGAGGAGTAGAGTTTGATCAGCAGCCGAGCCTTACCAGGATAGACTGGAAGAGCTGGAAAGAGCCACTGAGCCAGATGTAGATGTGCGAGTAGATCTTAGTGGATGTGCCATTGAACGTGTTGGCCACAGCCAGGAAGGAATACGGCCCGATGGTGAAAAATTCCCAGTCGTAGGCTCCAGAGGTAGGGATGGTCTGGTTGGTTTCAAACAACCCTGTCTTGGGGTTCCACCTGTATATCACACTGTCTATGTTGTGGTTATTCCCTGGGGGAGACAGACAGACAGACAGACGTGCACCGTGAGGAAAAGGAATACCTGGCTCGTGTAAGAAACAAGACCCAGAAACAGGTTCAGCTGTGCAAATATTTGCCAGCAGGTTGCAAGGCTGTTTGCTAGTGACTGATTGCTCCCCAAGAAGTAGCTGAAGAGACTGTAGAGCCTCCATCCCTACCCAGAGCCTCCATCCCCACCGAGCTCGCTGGCAGCTTGCGCCTGAGCGCGCGGTGGCAGCTCTGCGGTGGCCCCTGGCAGAGGAGGGCCGGGAGGGTGCTGTCTCCCCACACGAGCAGCACACCAGAGGCACGGTGCCAGCATCCCGGGTCACGCCAAGTCCCTAAGCTACCGACGTCAAGGGCTGCCGTCACTCTTCGCACACAAGCTCACACATCTGGTAAGGGGCCACAGCTGGAATGGCACCGCACTGATGTTTTCCCTTCGCTGCGTCCCCGTGCTCTGCTCCTGAGTGTTGGGGCTGGCCAGGGACCTCCATGTGCCGGTCCCTGCTGATGGTTCAAACTCCAGAAAGAGGGAGGGGATGCCACAGCCCGCAGCCTGCCCCATGCTGAGCACTCGGGCTGAGCCCACCAGCGCCAAAGCACGTCCTCCATCCAGCTCCTGGGCTCTGTTCAAGCATCTCGACCTCATGTCTGTGTGGGACCCAGCTGGCTTTAAAGCTAAAAACCTTTCTGCACTTTCAGCCTGGCACGACCCCTCCAGCCCCAGACATTGTTCTAATAAAGGGCTGGCTTTGCCGGACAGGAGGGGAGCACCACCAGCCCCTTTCCCTCACTGAGCACTGCTGTACCTGGCTTGGCCCCACCAGAGGTGCTGGTGGCTGGGCAGCAGCAGGACCACATGTTAACGGGTCGATGGTCAATCCTCATTGCAATGGAAGAGACTTTGGCAAGGAGGGCTGCAGGGAGACGAGGGTGTGTGGGAAATGGCCACGTGGATAAGTGACAGCTCCTCAGGGACTGACCATCCACCACCCCTTAAGGAGAACATCCCTAGTCTGGCTTGGCCATGATGGTCTTAACCCCTGCGTGATGTGTATGGCCACCAAAGGGACCTTTCTGCCACCACTGCCATGGGAGTAGGTCTCATCCAAACTGGCCACGGTGGGATCCAACAGGTGACATGGGGAGTTTCCAGCCCAGCTCACCCGCAGCTGGTGCCCGAGCAACCTGCCACCAGCTTTGAGCAGGGTGCTGGAGGAGCTGGTGCCCCAGGAGCCAGCCCTGATGGCAGGGCAGGAGCCCAGTGTCTGGACCCAGCTGGGAGCATCCTGGAGAGCCAGGGCTTGTGCTATCAATGCCTTCATCCTCTGTGCTGAGGGGTGCACGCCCCAACCCAGAACAGCTCATGGCCTGGGAGGGGAACGGTGATGGATCACATCTGCCCGGGGAGGCACGGATGCCAGCAGGCTCTCACTCAGTTTCCTGTGCAACCAGGAGGCCACAGCTTTGGCTTCTCAAAGGCTCAGTCCCTGCAAACCCAAGCAGCTGCCCTCACCACCCCACCGTGTTACGTAACATTGGGGAAACAAATGAAAAGAAGCAGAGAGATTCAGCAAAGACACCATCCCCGCTCCTGTCCTTGTCCCCCGCAGTCAGAAACCCAGAGGGAGACCGTGATAGCCACTTCCCCGAGTGCTCTTCTCCCCTAAAATGAGAGGATCTGCAAGGTTTCGGGCTTCCTGAGGGACACCACGCTCCGAGCTGTGTGCACGGACTCTCCAGCTTAGCCCTGCGCTCCAGCAGAGGATGCACAGGGAGCTGCAGCGTTGCCACAGCAACGGGAGGATGCTCTCAAGCAGGGTGCCTGCGGCGGGGTGCCGTGGTCCCCAGTGTGTCCCCCCCGGGCCACCTGCCCCAGCTGAGCCAGGTCGGTAGGGAGTATAAGGGCTGGGTACCTTCTCTGTGGTTGACCACTGCGAGGAAAGCCTCTCCCTCAATGACAAACGCCTCCCAGTCCCTAGCGCTGTGCGTGGTGATCCTCTGGTACGTGACGAATTTCTCTTTCCTGCGGCTCCACTTGTATATTACAGAGAACTCCTGACCCCTGTCGTTCTCCTCAAAATTAGCCACTGCTAGGAAGATCTGAAAAATAACAAGCCAGGACATCTTGGTTTTCTCCTCTCAAAGGGGTGCGGACAAGCACGGGCAGGGTGACGGTGGGATGGGTGGGGGCAGGCGCCCATGGGATGGGGGGACAGGGACCAGGGGGCTGGTGTGGGTCAGGATGGCCCTGGCTGGCAGGGGTCCCCGAGCAGCCCCCGAGCAGCACAGAGCACCCAGAGCGGGGACAGGGACCCAGTGGCCCATGGGGGTGTTTGTGTACGGCAGCAGCGGCGCCCACTGCCCACAGAGCCAGGGAAGGGATGAAACTCGCAGCCACAGCCTCGGAGCCGAGCGGAGGGAGAGCCATGCTGCGGCCGCGCGTGCCCTGCCAGCCCCGGCGACAGGGGCAAACAGGCTGGGGAGGGAGGGGGGGTCCGAGCTGCGAAAGGTTGTTCAGAAGAAAAACTGCAAATATGATAACAATAATAACAATGATAACAATTCCCTGAGACAAAACATTTTCCAGACCGAGAACACCCCCTGGCCAGTGTCAGGGACAAGCGTGCGGCAGCAGAGATGCCTTGTGCAAGGCGAGGAGCGCATCCGAGCCGGCGGGGATGCCCGGGGGTCCCCCCCCTCTCCTGTGGAGTGGCAGAGGTCGCGGCCCAGCCGAGGGACGCAGCCCACAGGCAGGGAACAGTCAGTGGGGGAGGTCTCCTGCCTCCTGCCCAGCGCAGGACCCCACCAGCACCAGCCTGCGGCTTTGTCCAGCCGAGGCTCAGCCACCCCCAAGGACAGACACCTTCCACCCCAGCCTGTGCTGGGACCACACGTCCCTCCAGGGAAGGTCCATGCCCAACAGCTCTCCCTGCGAGCCCCCATCCAGGGAGTCCCTGCAGGGCATCTCCAGAAACATGGCTTCAGAGGGAAGAGAAAGTCCTGGATCCAACCCCACAACTCAGGAGCCTGCAGTCCCTTGTTCTCCATTGACCGGAGGCTCCAGGAGACCCCGACACTCCCCTCCGGGGCTCTTCACCCCATCTCAGCAGAGCAGTGCAGTAACGAGGTGCTGACACCTACAGAGGTGCATCCCACCTGCAATATGTGCAAGGAACCTGGGCTAACTGGAGAGATCTGTACCACTGCTGGTGCAGCACCTATCTGGTCGTCATCTCCATGCAGAAACACACCAAGCGCGGGCAGCCTCTGTCCCCAGCGCTTCCAGAGCACCAAGCTAGCCTCAACTAGAAAACCTGCCCCAAGTCGTGCACGAGGGGGGCCATCCTGCCTAGTAAGTCCAAGTAAATTTTTCTCAGTGAAGACCAGAAGGCAAACGCAGAGCACGTGAGCCTTGGTGAGCACCAACACGGGTGCTTTGCTGTGCAGGAACCATGGGGAGTTGGTGGTCTTCTCTGCCCCTGCAGCCATCGCTGCAAGGGGACGTCGTGGGTCCAGACTAACCCTGGGGAGCCTCAAGGCAGTTCCCATCAGCAGATAAACCCAGCCGAGGATGCTCCTGTCTCCTGCCCATGAGGGTGCAGCTGGAGCTTTGCAGAGCAGGTGCAGCGCTGGGGATGGCAGCATGTTCCCAGCCCAAAGACAGCTTTGCAACACAGCTGCACTTTCAGGGCTTGACCAGGTTTTCTGCAGGACCCCACTGTCAGGCAGGTAACGGGGGACGTGGCCCACCTGTGTCCAAACAGCAGGGCTGTCAGTGCCACCAAGCCTGGAGGCAGGACTTCTGCCCATCCCTCGGTACCCTGGAGCACGTGGCTCGTAATGGGGGGTCTGTAGCCACCCCACATGGTGCCCAGCAGGACCGTGGTGACAAAGCCAGAAGGGATCATGCCGAGGGGGAGCGACCTGACTCCCCTGGAGCTCTGCACAGAACTGGCTCTCAGCAGGTGTTTGTTTGGCTGGACCAGGACTCCTTGCAAAGGGACAAGGACCCCCCCAGGGAGAGGAACCAGACAGGTACCCCGCAGTGATCCCACGGCAGGCTGCCCATGGGATGACACCCGGCTCCAAAGTCCTGGAATGATTTAAAAGCAAGAGGGCTTAAAAACACAGAAGGTTGGACTCTGTGGGTCTTGGGGAGGGAGCTACGGGCTCCGATGGCTTTGTAAGACCACAGGCAGATCTCTGAGACCAGGGTGGACCTTAAACCTGTGCGCCAGGGCTCAGCCTGCGCTATGAGCACACCAAGAGCAAGCTGGACCGCAGCTCTGCATGATGTGTGCCCACACGCGAAGGACATTTTGACACTAGCATCTACATCTGAGGCAGAAACAGGCAGAGCCTGCCAGAAATGAACCCGGACACATGGGGGGATCCAGCTCCAACAGCCAGCTTTGGAGCCTGACCTCGCAGACACCCTGGAGATCCCCGGGGAAGAGACCTGAGCGCTCCCGACACACAATTACCAACACTGTGAGCACCAGTTGCTGAAAATGGCCGGTGTGGATGTACTTGTGTCTCGGCAAAATTAGTAAAGACAGAGAGGGCAGCCCACAGATCAGCCGGCAGTCCCTAGGACAGACCCTCACTGGCTGAATACATGTCTCAGTGTGACCCCATCAAAGACAGGAGAGAGAAAGATTCACCCCCTAACCCATGCCCAAGACTCAGGGCTTCAGAGAAGGAACCAGCATTGGGCAAAATTGCAGTTTAATATACTGAAACGTGAAGGCGCTGAAAGAACCTTCCAGGCAGACCTACCTTCTTTCCTATCGTGAAATACTTCCAGGACTGAGCTTGGTAGGTGGGGATGTTCTGGTAGGGCACAAACTTCCCATCAGTCCACTTATAGATGGCCGATCCCGGGGGGGTGTATCGGTTGGCGGTGGCTGCAAACAGTCCCACCTTTGGGATGGTGAAGACCTCAACTCCCATTGTCTCAGAGTTGGTCACCAGGTTCTGGTACTCCTCCACGTAGTCCAGCTTTTGTTTGACTAGGAGACCACAAAAAAAGAGGGGTGAGGTTAAAACCAGATGACTCTGCCTGGGGAGGTGCCCCACGTTGCGTAGCAGAGCTGGCTCGGTGGCGCTTGCTGGTCTGTGGAGCTTTATGGGGAGGAAAATGAAGGTTGTGGTGAAGGGCCAAAACCCGAGAGGGTGGTAAAAGGCTTGAATTGGTCTCGTTGGGCAGCACACCCAGCCCCATCCACCCCTGCCTGTTCTCCAGCGAAAGGCAGGGCTGCAAAATGCTCTGCTGGGCAACCTCCTCTGGGAAGGGGGAAGAACGCCACGCCACGGATTTTGTTTCTCGCAAAGTGGGTTGATATACTTATCCTAAAAAGAATGAGGAGAAGCGACCTACAGCGAAAGGGCCCAGGCTGCTGAGACCGGCTGGGTTAACCCGCACCCACCTGCAGCAGCCCTGCACCAGATGTTTTCTCTGGCTGGAGTCAGCAGGAGCTCTGGAAGAAGTTAGAGAAGACTTAGAGAGAATGGATGCCAGAAATCAGAGCAGAAAGGCTAAGACTGGTCCCAATGGCAGATGGGTGGGCACTGGGAGGGACAAATGGCAAGAGAAGGGCTACAAGAAGGGCCAGTGTTGGTGACACCAAGAGGCACGGGTCAGCAAGACCCCAGCACGAGGTCTCCTTGGGAAAACAAGGACACGGTGCCAATCCTGATGACTTCCAGAGGTAGGGGAGGATGGGTAGTCCAGCCAATGTCACCTCCTGTGGGGAGCAAACGGCTCATCCAAACACACCATGTGGGCACCAGAATAAGAAAAACCCTGGGATAGTGGGGAAGGACGGCTCGGTTGCAGGCATGCCTCATCCTCCATGCCTCACCAGGGATCCTGGGCAGACTGCCTGGAGCCAGTGGGAGAGCACCAGCGGGCAAAATCCATTTTGTCATCGAATAATGTCCATCCCTCCAGGCTTTGCCGCCTTGTTGTTCCAATGTTGCCCTGCTATTTTCTGCACAAAGGCCACCGGAGCTGGGATGACATGGGGACCTGCCTGTGCCACCCTCCCATCGCTCCCTCGGGTCTCTCTGGCAGCTGATGAGTCTTTCTGCTCCTTCTGTGGCAGGGGGGTGAGCTCCGTGGGGTGAGCTCTCCCACGTGGGCAAACCAAGGGCTCATTCCTGACCAGAGAAGCCCCAGAAGGGACGGACAACTTGGATAACCTGGACGGACAAGGCGGGCATTGTGTGAGTGATCAGGGAGCTGGCTCACAGAGGCGCTTGGATCCAGAGCTGCACTGGAAGTGTTGACGGGGGCACGGAGAGCAAAGCGAAGCCCGGGCGGGCAGGGAGAGGCAGGGACACCCAGCCCCATCATTCTGCTGTTGCCTGACTTGGTTCCTGCCCCAAACTGCTGCCAAGGGCAAATCTCTGCTCCTCCTCTGCTGCAAGAGCCTCCCTCCACCCCCGAGAGCGCACTGCACACCAGTACCTTCCAGCATGGAAATCCAGGCGCTGCCGTTGCAGAGGTAGAGTCCTCGCCGGGAGGCATCAAACCAGAACTGTGCCTTCTCCCACTTGGTGCAGGGTGGACGGGACCCCAGGGTCACCTTCGTGTCAGTCTCTGGGCACGGAGAGGAGCAAGGCGGGTGCCTCTTAGGGCACACAACGGGGGAGCGGCGAGGCTCATCCCCGTGCCCGCGGGGGGTTGGACATCCTGCTCCCATCCTGATGATGGGCACCGGGGAACGGGAGAAATGGCATCCCAGCCCTGAGCCGGGAAGTCACCGGCTGAGAAAATGCTGGGGGCTGGCACCCATGGGGCTATGGACATGAGCCCAGCACTGCCAAGGGACCGGGAAGGGGCTCCCCGGCTCTCCAGGGCAGTTTTGGACAGGGATCCCACCCCACACGCACACTGAGGAACACACGGTGCTGGGGACACCCTCTTCCCCTCCACTCCTGCTCCGTGCCCAGCCCCATGCAAAAGCCTTCCTCA